AGCAGCGAGGTGCTGTTGCTGCTACAGATGCCACGCATAAATGTCGTCTTTCACGTTCCTTCTCAAGTAGGCTTTTCGCATTTGTAGGTGGATTGAGGGGTCAAAAAGACCGAACGCACTGCCAAGAAGGCCAAAGTGTTGATCGCCGACGCTTTCTCGGCTTCTCTGGGCTATTCGAGATAATCCTGTACCATTAAACTCAGGTCACGGTCCTGGAAGGTCTTCTGCGAGTTGTGATCTCCATGCCTGTACACCCTCATTCGCTGGTGATGCAGGTGGATCACCTTGCACTTAACTGTGTTCAACTGGTGTAGGTCCCCTGATGACTATTCATTAATAGAATCCAGACTAGGTTGAAGAAAACCATGATATTTACTTTTATTATTCTTTAGTTATTGCTTACTATCTTCAGCGAATAACAGCAACTTGGAGACGATAAGTATGGTCAGGTCGTTGATACAGACCATGAATAAGCGCGCTCCCAGCACTGAGCGCTGTGGAACGCCTCACGCAACGTGATTCTAAATGCAAGAACTGGAGCGTAGCAGCAGACAAGCAGATCTTGTCCCATCGTCAAGTGGGAGTCATTTCCATCACAAATTGCGATTGGTACCGGTGTTAGGGCCCATAATTTGGCTTCCGCTCTACTGACATACACCAAGCAGCACATGCGAACACCGGTAGAACTTGTGGCGTTGCAACTATGGGGATTTACCCTTTGTGACTTCTGGCTCGGCGAGTGCATAACGCTTCGAATCGCGTCGCATCAACCACATACGCTAAGCCCATGCTTGGAAATATTAATTAGTAAAACTATGAGAAGTTTTATGCCGGTTTGACTTCGGTACGTGCTGGGCGACACGAGCTACTCTGAATGCGTAAGAATAAAGTACAATTTCTGTGACAAGGACAGTAATTCAGTTCCTAAAATCATCTGTTGTTTTGCAACTGCACTCATATAAACCACCTTCTATGAATAACGTAGACATATACATGAAACTAACCAACCTGAAGTCGAACGAATCATTTGGTCCTGATTAACTTTGTTCTGTCATCTTCAAGAGATACGCTAAATGTGTGGCACAACCTTTCGTCGAACTGTACACGTTGTGCCTTGGGCGAAGCGAAATAGCAGACAACTGGCGGAGAGCAAGTCTCACACCGATGCTAAAGAAAGGAACCTGCGAGTATAGGTCAACTGCTTGCACGCCGATTGCTTTGACACTTTTGATAAGGTTACACTTGAAATGGTGCTAGCCCAGACGCAGATTGCATATTGTATTCCAAGGGCCACATCAGGAGTGCTCACATGACTGTTACATGAGTTGATTTCATCAATGGGGTAATAAAAACAAATCCACATGAATCTGTGTGTGGTGTGGCTGAATATTCGCCATACATCAGTGCATAAAATACAAGCTTGACTTGACTTGTTGTTGAAGGAATAGAATGGACGACCTTTTATCATGAGATGACAGGCTGAAATATTGGCAAAGCGTGGGAGTTGCTATAACATAATCACATATCTGCGTAAGGCTGGAAAGGTATAGGTGATTTCATGTTGTCCACAGTCACGGTTAAGAGCCAATCTAGGAGAGGCTTCTGGCAACAAAACAATTTCAGATATTATTAGAAGCTACATTTTTCTATTCTAAATGCATGTTTCTATGGATTTCGTTTGCTATTTACGAAATTTTCTGTTCAGCGTGGGCTACTGAGTTTGTTAAATTGTGTGATAAATAATATGTTACAAAACCCAAAACAAAACATGTCAATAAAAACGTAACACACAGTGTACAGAAAGAGGTTTGTACAAGTTTGAGCTAAGATACTGTAATTTTAGGAGACATGACAGGCGGGTTACAAAATGCTGATGAATCGAGTTAACGTTGTCAGTGTTTTGTATGGGAAGTCCCATAAAAACACATTCTACCATTCTATTTTACTTACGGTCTTTTTGATCGGAATGACCGAGGTCCACCTCAAGTGAACCGAGGCCTCAATAGAGGTTGCTTTTAGCAACCCAACCACCAGCGGATCCTACAAAGCCCAACTTTACATTCTACCACCATTCAGTCGCTGCAATGTATTGTTTAACTGACACTGACAACCACTGCGTGTTGTAGTAGGTTGTATATTTGAACGCGCTTTAGCGTTAGTCTTGAACAGAGCTGCCGCGAACCCATCAACTTAATGGGGACTGTAGTGGTCGCATCCAGCGTTACGTTTAGAAAAACAGGTGGATAAATCTCAACTTGGGTACACTGGATGATTGGAACGATGGATGATATAATGACCATTTTACTGCTGGGATAATTTGACTGTTATCAGATAGAATGAACGAACGCTTATATGAATCACTTAAATATGTAACACGTATATGAAGTGACGAGACAGGTGGCAGGAATTTGCCGTCCATATCCAATGTACTGCAAAACTTGTTAACTTGGTTTTCCAAGTGGAAGATTGTTCAACAGCGTGATAAGTGTCATTAACACTGACAGCTTTGTGTATTAGGAAATCATGACTTTCGACCTTTCTCTGTACAACCTATTCTATAGGATCCCTCCAGTTTGGCACTCTCGACTGGTTTGAACGGAATACCAAATTAGTGTGAATTAAATAGTAAGTGTCTCACAGCTTCTGTTGAAAGCCATGCTGGAAATTTCAACCTCGGAAGTGCTTCCGAGGTATCTCATGGCATGAATAGTAACGATGATGCGGAAGACTGGAAAGCCTCTAGAACGCGCCAGGACCGGAACATGCACAGGCATCGTGGACGACATCAGACAGCTCAATGCAAACCCCGCAGCACAATGAAATATTGGATCGCTTGCTACTGACGGTAACGGGTCTGAGTCCAGATTATTGTACAAAGTTTAATCGTGGCTTCTACGTTCCACAAAAAGAAGGTGTTTATCGAAATGCCATTAAGTCGAAATGAAACGCATGTGTTGATGCATCCAGAAGTAACCCGAGGCCGAATAACACAACGCGATCAAGCAACCCAACAGCTCCAAGCTTACCGGAATTCAAGTTATGCATGTAAAGATATTGGTTAGTCAGGCAGCCAAGGCCCCCTCTAATTTGGGAAGAAAAGCCTCATAAATGTATCACGTTTCGATAGGGAAAAATAGTTGATATATGCGTCTGTGCGTAACAGCTTGGTCAGCCGTGCAATAAAGATTGTGCTTCTTTGCCACTTCATGCCTGTTACTTTTGGTTGATGTACATCTTGGCTTTCAGGTACATAAACGGAGTTCATTACGCAGCAATGTGACTTCCGGTTTGCCATTTGATGGTCAGTAGCTGTTTGGTGAAGTAACCACTTCAAGTGTGATATATCTTTTCAAGACTGCCAAAGATCATGTCAACTTGCTTCATTGTGCCCATTGTTAATTGGATCATTTTTGGACTACAACATAACGGATTCTATCAAGGAACTGCACAAGCTTTAGTTTTGACATCAAATCAGGTGATCGCTCAATCGATGCCGTTCTGCAGTGAGAATGAAGAAATAACCATTGCGATAAAGTAGAGAAAACGAATGAGTGAAACGGATGTTGACGCATGTAATTAATGTAAGACCATCTGAACTGATACATTTGTATGGGTATTTTAAGCTATTCACTGAGATTCATCATAGTTGGAATTAGTCAAACAAGCAGCACACTTGTGTAGCGTTGGTTGATCCCACAGCGGCTCATCATACGTTCTGTCTCCTTCAACTCAAAGCGTATTACACCTGTAACGGACTTTTCGTTTGCCGCTTGGTGAACAAATTACGCACATATGATTACCCCGTCTTTATTAGGCTGCGTTGACTGTCTTATTTCCAGTACGCACAATCTAACATTCCTCTCTAGTGAATAACGTTGAATAACGCGTTTACAGTGTATATATATATAATATATATATATATATATATACCGGCGTAGCAACCATACTCTAAACGCGAAATAAACCTGCTTTGACATAATTTGAAACCGCCTCTGGGGAATTAATCAGCGCACAATTTGAAAATTCCGTAGGATAAACCAGGCGCTCGTTAGGGATGGAAGGGAAACTTGAGTTGTTTGGATACACTGAAACTAATGAATTGAGGCTCAATGAAGGAAGATAATTCCTTAAAAAGAAATATAGTCTTGAAAATAAGCAAAGCGGGACCAGAATAAAAGTACGTAGGCATCATGCAATAATTAGTTCTTTACATTCGGTTTAACTAGAAAAATTAAGCAACAGTTACTGAAGGTTATTTCAGTAATATGTGCAGAAATCTGTGCGGAGTTCTTCAAGATAAGACTTACATAATTCATGACAATTACGAACAAATGCTTTTCGGATGGCGCCGAGTTTCTTTGGCATGCATGGTATAAGACCGAAATAATGTTTACTGACTTTATTGCTTAAGTGTCAACTATCATATCCTCTTGGTCGGTGATGTTCCGAAGTACTCTGTACGGAGCACTTTCGTCTTGATTTTCGCTTAAATCTTCGAATTGGTATTTAGGAAGGTGAGTACAATCCTTATACGGAAGTTCCATCAACCTCACAGCGTCCTATCTATCGAGTCAGCGTCCCAAGGTACGATCGAAAACAGTCAGCCTACTGAAGCGTGCAATTGCATCAAAAAGTTCGACTGGCCTGAAACCGACCACACCCTTAAACAAGGACCATCATGCGCCTGTACTCTGGTCGTCAAGTGAGCTACATGAAAGTAAAGGTGGTAACTTTTCCCCACATTTTCAACCTAGGTAGGAAAACCGGTGATTCATTCTCCTGCGGACTGACAGCCCAAGGTCAATGATGCGGGGAGGACACCCGATGAATCGCAGTTGCCTTGACCACGTCGACGCGTTGCCGTATACCTGTGCGCGCAACGTAGCGCACACACACATCCACGCGACCGCGCACAATGGCGAGTCTACGTATGGATAGACTTTGGCAAGGGTGTATGCGCCAATCAGACAGTACATATCTATCGACAGGCTACTTCACGTGGTTGCGGGGCTCATATCTCAATGCATGCGGTCGGCGTCAGTTAAGAACCAAGCGGTGAGTCTTCTTGCCAGTATGTCATCTACTTTACTGGTACCACTAATAAAGTGGTCCCCATCAACGGATCCGGATTATATTATCCTCGCAAAAGAGTAAGCGCTGAATTAGTGATAAACAAATGGGTTTAACCATCCCAGAATTTGTTGGTGTATAACTATTTAGTTACTACTATGAGGTTCCCCAGCTATCGAACCATCAAGCTGCTAAATGCATTCAATGTTCCCTGGCAAAGTTTCAAAACTTATAGTTCAGAAATAACGGTCCGGTTAAGGAACAACTTTTACTACATCTATGATAACATGTTTACTTGTCAAATATGAACTTATACATTTATAAAGCGGATGTGTTTTCTACTTGCACGAACACAATTAAATCATTTACCCGAGTGGTTGGCATCAATTGCTTATACACTACTTATGCTGATAGACCTAAATATTAAAAATACTAACTGCTTTATCGTAGTATCCGTGGCAATTGTTGCCAGACTATAAATGTCAAATGCCATTCATTTCGTATCTGGTGCTGTGCCAGTTTACATAATCAACTGCGAAATTGCGGAATATGTTCGCCTTCTCTTGATATACTCCCATGCGTTTGTACATATATATATTTTTATTTATATATTTATATATTTATCCGTCTACCTGTAGTATCTTGTATAAACTTGCACATGTCTCTTGAAAGAGGAAAACCTGATTGACTCCGCCACGTTCGAATACATTCGTCCCACAGGGATGATGATCCCGAGAATCTGCGGCTTACCGAAGGTGCATAAGGAAGGACTTCCACTAAGGCCCATACTAGACATGTGCAATTCACCGTATCACGCAAAAGTCAAGTGGTTAGCTAAGATTCTAGAGCCGGTGAGAAATACTATGTCCAGGTACAGTCTACGAGACACATTCAGTTTCTTAGACTCCATAAGACAGCTTCAGCTAACCGGAAGAAATATGTTCTCGTTGGATGTGTTGTCGCTCTTTACCAATATTTCGTCAGAAGAGACATTAGACTATATGTGTGACACCGTTCAAGACCATCAATTGGGTGTCGGCCTTTCAAGTGATTGACTGAAGCAGGTACTCATGATATGTACTAGTAAGATAAAATTTCAGTTTAAAGGGGCCATATACAGACAAAAAGATGGAGTAGTAATAGTTACACCGCTTGTACCGCTACTAGATGATGTGTTCATGAGCAAATTAGAGAATGACTATCTGAGCTGAGTCATTACTGGTCTACCATATTACGGACGATATGTGGATGATATAGTTTGTGTGATAGACAGGCACTGTTGCCCAGAGACAATTTTATCCCATTTTAACTCAACGCACCCTAATGCCAAGTTCACCCTAGAAACTGAAGGCAATGACACGATGTCCTTCCTAGACGTTCAGATTAGTAGAAGACCAGATGGATCGGTCCAACGGAGGGTGCATAGAAAAGTAACGTGGAACGGACAATTTATATATTTTGCCGGTTTTGTCCCAATAAATTAGAAACGCAATTTGATTAGATGCCTAAACGAAAGGACCAGAAGGATTTGTAGTGAGGACACATTTGCGGACGAGCTCAGTTTCTTAAGTGACGTTTTCGAGAGAAATGGATATCCAGAAAAATTTGTTCGGAAATATATGGAGTGCAGAGAAATGAGAGCTAAACCAGCTTCGGCAGAAAAGAAACCGGTTGATCTGTCGTTGCCGTTCATGGGGATGGTATAGCGCAGGCAACATCTAGAAGGCTATTCGACGCCATGGGCCATACCTACTACGCAGCGCGCTTGCGGCAAAGCTTTACTTCAGCACCATTCGTGAGGCCTAAATTCAAGGACAGACTTCCTTGCTCATGTGCTTCTTACTGCGTATATTCCTTCTCTTGTTCATGTCGCGCGAGATACATCGGAAGAACTACTAGGAGGCTGTCTGAGAGAATAGGTGAGCATTGTTCAGCTAAGCTACGCAATGATGGGAGCAATACTGTGATGAGCGCCGTGTTGGCACACTTGGTTGATTCTAATTACCAAATCGACACCTCCCAATCTTTCCAACCCAGTTACCGTGTGCCTGGACGCCTTTCACGAGCGGTAAAATGTCGCTTACTAGCAGCAGCTGAGGCAATTGCTATCCGCCACCAGAACCCAGACGTATGTGTTCAAAACGATTCGTTCAGATTCTGTGTTTGCTCTGGTCCGCTATCACAACGACTCCTGTTGAGGGATACGCCGCCGAAAAGTCATTAATAACTTCTGATCCGATTATTTAGCAGTTTCATTCCACTGACCATGAACTTTGAACTTTAACATTATCTGCTGTTTTACGTTAATCTTATTCCTATCAGTTGTGGTGTTTTAGCCTGACTAGAGCCACCGAAAACGAGCTTGTTCGCTAACTTGTTGTTCTGGTATATATAAATATATATATATATATATGCTTGGAGCCGTTGAGCTCTGTCCTTATACCAACAAGAATTTTGAAGGAGATAAAAAGTAAGATTTTGGGTAAGTTTTATCTTGACCATCCGTGGAAAACAGTAGCTAAAAGTGCAAAATGTACACGATTACTAGGACGAGCCGATTTCCCTTGGGTCTACAAAGAGGTAGCTTAACAATTGCTTCACTAATCGACGCCAGTTTTAAACTTCCTGTTGTTTAGTAACCATGCGAAATTTGCAGAACTAACGTGCTGTAAAACTAATCGTCTACCAAATCCTTTCACGTGGTTGTCTGAAGTCACCAATTCGTTTGTCTCCGATTACAGTTCTGTTCGCAATAAAGGCCCCCTACTCCAGCTCCGGAGGTAATCTAGTGGATCTATATCAATCAATGCTTTAAGAAAACGAATGAGCAAACTTACGTTTGTGTGGATACAGACAGCTAACAGTACATCTTTAAATGCGTGACAACCGCTACCTGAGCATGGCACTGTTTGAAGGTGGGGTGTTCCTTTAAGGATAATAACACACTGCGTGCTACATCGTTACTAGTAGATCAGTTTTCTCCGCTTTGCTCCTGAGGGTAGATCGCTGACTGGATACCGATATTAAATTTGATCAAAATGTGTTGTGTGGTGGTTTTAACTAAAGTGCATTTGAACAACACGACACGCATGTCTCTGCGGTTCCCTTATCTAACTGGGATTCTTTTAGGTTTACTTTACGAAGCCCGATTATGAAGACTACGGCGACAAGCCACAGAGATAAACACTTGAGAACATTACTTAGATGATGACTGCAGCCTTACTTTTGTAACAAACAAATTTCTGGACGTGCACTCTTCCGTGTACTTTATGCACCACGTACTTTTTTCGCCTACGGCGCTCCAGTTGTTCACCAAGGTGAAGGAAACTCCGTGTGTTTATCCGGTGTTGTGGTGACAGAACACCGAAAAATGTTCACTAGACCGTATCGTTTCGGTGCAAGCACTTCTCAGGAGGAAGGTGAAGGTTTTCGTCAGCTCGATGAGTAGTAGCAATTATTGAAGTGATTTGGTCAGGACGTGGATGACACCATTCCATTTCGTTGCCTATGTGCTGATAAGGAATTTGAGTTAGCTTTACGGAGGGCTTGTAACAGCACCTTTCTTGTTAGATAGTGAACCAAGCTTCCGCAAAAGCATTAGAGTACAGTTTGTTCTGGTAGTGCGCATACCCAGGCTCAGAAGGAAAGGAATCTATGTTCTTCGACACCATTGATTTACGCAACCTACTGGTAGATTTTATCACCAGTCCAGATATGCTTGCAGCACACTGCTATGACTTATAGAAAAATAGCAATCCACTGCAATTCATCCTTTACTGCACTGTAAGTAGCAGACATCAAGAGGAGATGGTGGCCTGTTGAACCGTGGGGTTAAGTAATCTGTTATGAGTACGACCTCGTATTTAGAAGTTACTTCCGAGATATGACGAATTTACTACCTTGTACAAATTATAATTTTGATTTCCCATTTCCTTCCCAAACTGATCAAGTTGATTCATGCTGAAGAAACTGAACTTATTACACTACAATATGCTTCGAGTATCATAATACAGTTCGATAAATGAATTCAATTGAATCGAACCACGGCAAATTAATGAATTATGGTTGTTTTAAATTTTGAGTGTTAGCAGGAAACAATACTTCCTTACTGCAATACGTAACTATCGTATAGTGCAATTTTCAACACTGCTACTTACAGTCTGCAGAGCTCACACTGTGAATTATTGATGCCATCTGATGATAAAAGCGGGAAGCATCGGGTCGCAATCGTAAACAAATAGCCCCGTGCCGTGGTTACCGCTCATTTAATCATGGCGAGAGACATTGTTTGTGTGGCAGAGCGAAAGTGGGGAAGTTGTTGATGTTGATGTATTGCGGAGATGGATGCAACAAGAACCATGTGCTTCTCTCCATTACGCATGAAAATGTGCAGTCGCTTCCAAAACAAGATTTCATACCCACAATTAAAAAATACCAACCAAAAGTTTTCGACTGCACCACATCGCCATGGTAGCTGCCAACGTAATTATTTATCTTTAGGTTCAATATTTAAACAGCCAGGTCAATTCTTTACATGTCTAGACAAGCGATGTCAAAACATTGCAAGCGCAGTTGATTATGACAACGATCGACCTAAGTTTAGTTACAACTGTATGTAAACGAAATCTTGGGTCACTGTACACAGCAGTGTTGTGAACGAGACGCAGCTGGCACCTTACAGCTGCATTAGTTGCGTTGGGCACGGTACAACCCCTTAGTTCTACTGATGTGACATCCTGGTTATAGCAAGCATAATGATAACAAGGGTATTTTATTTATGTATGATGTTCGAAACTATTCAAAATGGTCTTTCGGCCTTTCCAATGCAGTAGCATCAATAAGTTCTCCGTAAAAACATGTAGTGAACTATTTTTATCATGAGATACCACATCACAGTTGAAAAACGCAAATTGCCCAAATTAGAGCAGGGTGACATACAGTCGGGGATGGCTTGTTTCTAATAATAGTGTTGCCTGTTGTCAAAA